AGAACGTCCCCCAGTCCCACCCTCCCCAAGCAGCCCCTTTCTTCTGGAGAGTGGTCGTGATTCCGGGAGGTCTCCAGGCCCCGGCTGGAGGTTGGCACCAGTGCAGGGCCCGTCCCCCCACAGCCACCATCCCAGCCTTGAAAATTGGGGGCGCACAGGGGGGCGCCAGAAGGGATCCTCACCTAGGGTGCAAAATAAGCTGTGGCCGGTCCTGGGGACGCTGACAGTTTCCCAGCACAAAGCCTGGTTCTGGCCCCATGAGATTCAAAATCCGGAACCCTGAGGACAAAACTTAAGAGACTGTGGACAGCCATGGCCCAAAAGAAGCTTTGAGCCACCTGATATCATGTGCCACCACACTCTGGGGACCGTCCCCTGCAAGGGTTGATAGTCTCCTGATGCGCTCTGAGGGTCTGGGAGCCCTGGAGAGTGAGCCATGGCAACCGGCATCAGCACCTTTGGATTTGGAACCTTTCCTCCAACTGCTGCCTCCAATAGGTTCTCAACACACACTAAGACCTGGTTGCCAAGTCTGAATGGAGTCCCTGCAAGATCAGTTGGAGCTGCAGCATTTATCAGGATAAGTACCAGGATAAGAAAAGCTTCAACTGCCCCTTTCCCCCATCTTTTGATATTCAATCTATAGGCAGAACATATCATAAGGAAAGCTGGCTTAGGTCTAGATGAAAGTGAACACTGGTGGAAGGAACATTAACAATTTGAGATATGCAGAAGACGCCACATTACTGGCAGAAAATCGTGAAGACTTGAAACGACTCCTGATGAAGGTTAAAACAGAAAGAGCCAAAGCAGGATTACAGCTGAACATCGGGAAGACAAGAATGATGACTACTGAGGAATCGCTCAGCTTCAAGGTCGACAATGACGAAATCAAAATTGTTCATGATTTTCTACTTCTTGGCTCCATCATCAACCAAAAGGGAGACTGCAACCAAGAAATCAGAAAGAGATTGAGACTGGGAAGGGCAGTTTTGAAGGAGCTAATAAAGATTCTTAAGTAAAAGGAAGTGTCAAGTTAATTCATGCCATAGTATTCCCCATTAACTATGCATGGGTGTGAAAGTTGGACAATGAAGAAAGCTGACAGGAAGGAAATTGATCCAGGTAGTCAGCCGTGTTGGTCTGAAGCAGTAGAACACATTTAAAGGAAGAATATGGGTTACTTTAAAATGTAGTTTTGGAGGCAAGTTTTACAGATACCATGGGCTGCCAAAAATCACAGAGTAGGTTCTGGATCATACTTTGGCCACACCTTGAGAAGACATTTCATTGGAGAAGACAATAACACTGGGGAAAGTTGAAGGCAGCAGGAAAAGAGAGCCCAACAAGAGATGATGGATTCAATACAGGAAGCCACAAAAAGGCCCTCAGTTTGCAAGACCTGAGCGAGGCGGTTAATGGCAGGACATTTTACAGGTCATTACTGTGAGAATTACTCGGTGCCTAGTGTCAGCTAGGCTGCCATATGGTTTATAGGCCTGGAGTTCGCCTGCCTGACCTCTGTACAAGTTGGTGCCACATTCCTTCCCTCTTGATTCTCTCATCGTTATCACTGACCTTGTATTCCTGTCTGAGTAGTGTCTCCACTTTAATTAACCATGAGACTAACATGTTTGTTCCCACCTAATACATCATCCAGTTGAAACTGCAGTCATAAGACAAGAGCCGCTTCAGCGGGAGGGCGGGATAAAAAATTAAATAAATAAATAAATAAAGAGAAGAAGGCCTCTGGCCAGCACAAGACATAATCCCATCAGGTGCCATTGTTCAAACTAGTTTCCCATTACATTCAACATTGCCCACTCCTGTGGACCTTCGACCCCAGTACCAGTTAGCATATTTTTGGGGACGGACTACCAGGTGTGCCAAGAGAGGAGGCCAAGATGAGCCCACCCCTCGACCTCCCAATAAAAGTGAGGGCCCAACTGTCAGCTAGGCTGCCATATGGTTTATAGGCCTGGAGTTCACCTGCCCGACCTCTGTACAAGTTGGTGCCACATTCTTTCCCTCTTCCCCACTGTTATCGCTGACCTTGTATTCCTGTCTGTGTAGTGTCTCCACTTTAATTAACCGTGAGACTAGTTTTGTTTCTTATCCTCGACCATTGGTTATTCTTTCCTGCCCGTGGGAAACAGGCCAATTGGCTCACAGGTGGTGGTGGTGGACCTCTTGAATCCTCTATATCACTATATGCTTGTTCTATACTCATCATTCCTAACAGTGACCATGTTACTGCAACCATAGTACTAACAATAAAATAAAACCTTTGTTGGAAGTGTGTGCTCTGTTGCTTG